TTTAAATATTCAAATTTGAATGACGGTTTTGAATTTATAGCCATAAATTAAATAAATTCTTGAATGAACAATTTGAAAGAACAATTTGAAAGAACAACTTGAATAAATAATTTGAATAAATAATTTGAATAAATAAAACTTCAATGATTTTTTCGAAAATCTTGTTATGTGTAAACCTCGTAATTCTGCTATTCTTATGTTAAGCTCAGATTGAAATTTAAGAAGAGATTATGTACGTAGCGGACTTTACTAATTCGCAGCGCGGGTTTCACCCCGTCGTAAAAAAAATATCAGTGTAACGGAACTTAAAAAAAAAATTGTAGATTTGTCATTAATCTTACTTATCAGGTGAGTTATCAAAGCAAACTATTTTGGATTTTCCGAGTTCTTTATATCTGTATATCAGATATATAACTTTGTAATGTATATACGGTATATATGGTGTAATTACGAGAGTTTTAACCATTCATTTATTCTAACTATTCTCGCTATTTTATCTTTCTTCCGATCTTGCTATTTTTTAGCACCCAGTATTTTTGTAACTATAAATTTCAGAAACTTCTAAAAGGATTTGATATTTGTGCTAAACTGAGTGAAATAAAAAGATTTAATATTATTAAATCAATTTATCCAACAAAATATACATATATATAACCTTAGTAATAGTTTTATAAAAAATTAAAAAAAAACAGCCTAATTTTGGTATAGTTCTTTTGATTTTTATTTTACCAATTATTATAAGCACAAGAGAATTGACCTCTATATACATTGAATTTTGGTTACCAACCGGTAGATTAGATTGTATTAAACTGTGATATCTAGTATATAGAGATTAGAATTTGATCATTATGATACCTCATGGGCATGTCTAAAGGCATATCTTTGAGTCAAAAGGTATATCTCTAAGTAAAAAAGGTATATCTTTACAGAATTTTCATGCTAGGATTAGTACAGTATTTAGAGTTATAATTAAGGTTTTAGAAGGTTAATTAGAACGCATATAGCTAGTTTTATTCATAAATGTAAAACCCCCATATTAAAAAACATGCCTTAAATTAAACATACGTATGAGTGACAGGGAAAAACCTGTAAATCATGCTTTCTAATATTTACTTTTTAATAGAAATATTTTGAAAAACAAGTTTAACGATTCAAATAATATATAATAACGATAATAATTGTTAATATTTAAAAGTAATGAATGGCTTAATATTTAATCATAACGATATAGCATTTTACGCCAGATCTTGAAATATGATTGGCGATTCTCTAATTACTAGATTATCGCTCGCAAGTTCAATTTTCGAGCATCTAAAACGGTTATAACAATAAATAGTGAAGAAATCTATGAAAGGTAAGGACTCATTTTGATATTGTGGAAAGAAATGGCATACTAATTATAGCTCAGTTTCTCGTTTGATCTTTTTTAAACTAACTTCTATAAAGGTTTCGCCAGGTTCCGTCCTTCGTCATTTCCGATTTTAAGTTTCGTCATTCACCAGAGGGATTTGGGGTTTCGTCAGGGCTTCGTCTTTCGTTTTTCGCCGCTTTTAGGTTTCGTTTTTCGTCACTACGCAGATAACGGTTCACCCAAGAACTATACAAAAGTATAAACTTTATATTTAATAATAAATAGTAAAGTATTTTGTTAAGAGTTAATTGATTTAATTTTACTTTTTGTAAGCTCAAAAAGATACCTTTAAGAGAATCCATTTTAAATAGTCCAAATGTGCTTACATTGTCTAGGCTAATTGTTTCTCCATTCGTTGGATACTTTATTTTGAGTGAGCAATATGAGGTTGCGTTAGGTGCATTTATGTATGCTGGTATTACTGATTTGGTATGGAACTTGAGATTATTATCGGAATATGACAATGTGGATTTTATTCTAATTATTCTAATTTCAAGATAAAAAATTTAAATTTGTAGTTGGACGGAATCATAGCTCGGCATTATAACTTGAAAACTATGGTAGGGACAGTTATAGATCCATTAGCAGATAAAACATTAATTACCATTCTGACGGTTACTTTAGCCATGAAAGACTTGTTACCAAGTAAAATTAATTGTCAAAATATTGTACCTAATTATTGTTGAGAGCAAAAAGTTTTGATATGTTTTTTTTCTTTAAAGTACCAATAGCGACTATAATTTTAGGTCGAGATTTCTGTCTTATTTTATCGTCCTTTTATTATAGATATATTTCACTTCCACCACCGGTAAGGTCTTCTGGAATTTATTTATAATTTACGCAATTAATTAAGGAGTTAAAACTTTTTTAGAAAACACTATCCAGATATTTCGATATATCAATCCCATCAGCAGAAGTCAGACCAACCCTGATTAGTAAGGTATGATTCATCACAATTTTTTGGATAATACCACGTGCTAAATCATTAATTCAATGTTTAATATATCTGAAAAAGGTGAATACCGCTTTGCAATTAGCGCTTATGGGTATGACGCTTTCTAGCCCAATATTTGGTTGGATCAACATTCCATTCTTGAAAGCATTGCAGTATGTACATAAATATAAATTCGATAATACTTTTAAGCCATTATTTTTTTTTTTATGAAGTTTACATAACACTCATAAATGAAACTCACAGGTATACTGTTGCGGGAACAACGATTTGGTCTGGCATAAGCTACGTGCTCTCTAAGGATGCTATAAGAATATTAAAGCAGCCTCGTATTAAATGATATTGATTGTGTAAAGAGAGGAGAATACTTTAGTTTTATGCAATGTCCATATGTCTGATCAAGGCTAGAGTTATACATCTTGATGTCCAAAGCTCTTTTTGCATATTCAACTTCCAAGTCTGAGAATATCTAAGCAAGTTTACACTTTTATAAAACTTTGCTTAATGAATTAAATCAAGCTGTTATGTTAAATTTAGGTATTTCTTTTTCTATATAACATGACTAAGATTTTATTCGAATAACAACTGAATAAGGCAACATATCCAATTGAAATTTCTATTCGTGTTGATATGATACTAACTGCTTCGGATATAATAATGCAGATGAAATAGGGAAGAAATTAGAGTTATTAGCTTATATCGCATTTGATCTTCAATTGATTCATTCGCATGATATAATACGTGGTTTCCTATTGCTATTATAGTCGATTTTGATCATTTCAAAAGAATATAGGGCATGTCAACACCACTCCTATAAAGAATTTATAGACATAATCAATAGTATTTGTTATCAAACAGGAAGTTATGAATAAAAATTATGCAATATTCCAAGTAAAATAAATTACTTTCAATTAATTTATTCGAATTAGATAAACTATGAAGGGTATATATATAATACAGTTGATCACAATAAACTGCAAATTTAATAAGTTGAAGTCCTGTGATTTATAAAAGAAAATGATTACTACTACTATTAAGATTACATATAATTTGAATTTAAATAATAAATTTTAAAGTATTTTGATATAATTGTGTCTAAAAAAAAAAAAGAATCCACCAATAAATTTCTTTTAAAAATCGTCTATAGTTTGTAATAATATTAGATTAAATCAAGTTGACATTTTTTTGTAAAGTTTGTTTTGCTTCGTTAGATGGTTCTGGATATCCTAATGGATTGGATTCGATCCAACGCCAAAGATCTTGACACATATGATCTAGGTTATACTTTGGGTACCAACCTAATTCAACATTTGCTAGACTTGCATCTGCTGTTACGACACCAATATCACCAGGACGTCTCTTTGTGATTTTGTAAGGAATCTCTTTACCACATGCTTTTGACATGGCCTGAATTATTTCTAGGACAGAATATCCAACACCTGTACCAAGATTATAAGCTACACAACCGGGTTTTGTTTTTAACTTTCGGAGTGCTGCTACATGACCCGTCGCCAAGTCACAAACATGAATGTAATCTCTTACACCTATTTATTATAAAATAAAATTTTCAAGTTAATAATTTCATCATAGTTAGTGAAATAATTAAATTAATTAAAAAATATATATATACGCTACCTGTACCATCAACTGTATCATAATCACCGCCAAAAATATTAACAAAAGGTAAACGACCTTGAACAACTTGACTTACATAAGGCATTAAATTATTTGGAATACCACGAGGGTTTTCTCCAATAATACCAGATGGATGAGCACCTGTAGGATTAAAGTATCTATATGCAATAAAAATGACCATACATGGTAAGAAAAATATCAATAAAAATATATAGTGTGAATAATTTTTTTTTACCTTAAAAGTACAGCATTCCATTTATTATTTGCTGCACACATATCTCGAATTGCCTCCTCTATAAATAACTTTGTCTTGCCATATGGATTTGTTACTGGGCCTAAGCTACATTTCTCATTTACAGGAATTGTATCTGGGTGACCATATACAGTAGCACTACTAGAGAATACTATATTATAAACACCAAATCGTTCCATTATTCTAAACAAACTCAACGAACCAGTCACATTATTCCAATAATAATCGAGCGGAATTTTTGTTGACTCTCCAACAGCTTTAAGAGCAGCAAAATGTAAAACAGCCCAAATATTATATTTTTCGAATATTGGGATTAATGTCTTTTCATCCAAAATATTTGCATGGTAAAATTTCAATGGTCGTCTGGCAAGCTTTTGAACGCGAATTAAGGATTCTAACAGCCAAAAAAAAAAAAAAAAAGAATAATCTTGTAAATAGTTTTAATATTAAAACCTATTAAGGAAAGTTAATACAAACCTTCACATGCATTCGACAAATTATCTATAACAATGACATTATAACCACATATTAAAAGTTCTAAAACGGTATGACTTCCAATGTAACCAGCACCCCCAGTCACCAGCACATAACCGTCGTGAGGACATGACTTTTTATTATCAAGGTTTTCCATTCGTGTTTCAGTTGGTTCAAATGTTGATATATTAATATTATTTTCTATTGTTTGACGTCTATTTTGTTGGCGGTTTTGGTGTACTTGGCAATGGTGTTGGGAATTGTCTATTTTATTGTCTATTTTATTTATCATTTTTGTTGAAGGTTCTTGTCGTTCCTGCGTAAAAAATGTCTTTGTTCTCGTTTGCTTAGAGACAAGAGAATCTTCATGTATAGAAAGGATGTGACTATTTGTTGTAACGGGAGTTACCGTTGTCTCGATAAGATGCATAACGACGAGAATTTAAGACCGAGTTTGTTAATGTGCGGAAGAAAGTGGTGAAAGGAAAGAAAAAGCGAAATTATATGTTCAAACAAGGATTGGCGGGTAATTTTGAAGGAGACCCGGAGATGGATACGAATTCCCTTCTATAATTCTATGTATTTATCTTTTTCTAAGAGAAAGAGAAAAAACGAAGCAAAAAGCTGGGCAAAATCATCTTGCAGATTAAGCACAAATATTGCACAAATTACGTTTTGGACACCAATTATTGGCTAAATAAAATATACGTTCGAACTCAGTTATCAGGGGATAACGTTAATTACATGTAGCACTATTCCCTTATTCAGTCAGGTAACCTAAAATTCTTGTCACAAACCAATAAAACTATAGGATTTATATTAATTATAATGCAAAATATGAATTCTAGCGCTATAATATTTAAGACTAAGAGTCCAAGATCGGACATGATTCCGTCGCAGGATGCCGGTTGATAATCATAGAAAAATCATCAAATATAAATTTATATATATACTGATTATTATAAACCATTAAAATATAATAAATTAAGGGAATTGATACCTCCCAGTAAACTAAAATTTTCTCAAGCGTTGAGCGAAAATATCTCGACAACTACCAAGCAAAATTCAATGAACTTTTATTATTCAAATTCTACGAATTTGTAGAATGTGTGGTTGCGAATATCTTAGCTCAAAGTTTGAGAAAATTTTAGTTTACTTGGGGACGGATATCGGGTACGAATGCTACGTCCCTAAATTAATTTTAGCATAGTATAATATGTATCTCCGTACCTATTATATCTATTATACGCATTAATTTGATTAAAAAGGGTTAAAAATATCATCGTTTAATAATATATATGTGACGTCAAAAAAAACCAATTTCGATCATATAAAATTTATACGAATGAAGTCTGGTTTCCCTTGGCGTCACTCGATATACTGTGCATATATGCTATATATGTATAATATATTAATCAAATTTGGGCTAAGTGATTAAACTGAATAATGACGATCGTTATTTTTTTTGTGCTAAAATCGGAAAACAGTTCCTCATGTGTTCCAATGTTGATACGACATTGTTTGTATAACGCTATTGCTACATTTAAGAAAATAAATTGGCTTTTACCTAAATTTGGATAAAGAAATTTTGTGTGGTTATTTAATATGAGAATGTAATTGTACACAGGCATGTGATTTTGCACTATGAATAGAACAATAGGCTGGGTATGTACTATGTAGTATTTTTTTTTTTCATTGCTTTATATTATACGTTTGACGTAATATTAACATGAAAAATAATTAATGATTGCTATCGCTATGTACCATCGGTCACTGCATACCGATACAATATCCCTCGAAAATAATATTTACACATAAAGTATTCCCCTTTTCCAATAACCCCTTTTCCAATAAGATTGCTGGATTCGTGAGTAATACCTGGTATTATTCAATTTTGAAAATAATGCTCTTGAATATAACCCCGATGTATGCAGTGGCCAACAGTATTAAACCGTCTATTG